ATCAAGGACTCCAGTCATAGACTGTTAGTCTGCTTGTTGTTTCCCAGATAAATGTACTTTTTCAGTCTTTCTCCCTTTCCAGTTACATTCTGTATGGGTTCTATTACTTTGTTCTCAAGTCCAGTTAGTATTTATTTATTTATTTGGTACTGATTTGTTGGGAGCTCCACCTAGAATTTTCATCTCAGATACTGCACTTTTCCTTTTTAGCAGTTGAATGTGGGTGTTTGCCGTCTTTCATCTCTTTGTGCTCAAGCTTTTTTTCTATCTTTGTGAAGATATTGAGTAGATTTATAGTAGGTGCTTTAAACAAGTTCGTCTACTAATTATTTCATTTGTGTCATTTCTGGGTCTGTTTTTTTAGAGAACTGTTTCACTCTTTGTGGTACTGTGTATTTTTTCTGCTTCTTTGCATTTCTGGTTCTTTGTTGTTTTGTTCAGTTTAAGACACAGTGATTTTACTTTGTTGAGTAAGAGATTTCTGTATTTTTTTAAACTGTGTTGAGCTTTGCTATGGGGTACAGCTGATTTCCTGAAAAGCAGTCTGATCCTTTTTCATTCAAAGCTTTCTTCCAGGACTCACATGCCCCTCTGTGGGACAGCAGCTTTCTGTGGCTTCTTGATGGTTCCATGAGTTGCTTTCGTCCCTGGCTGTTGAGAATACAGCTACCCCAAGTCTTCAGTGAACACAAGGGCTGAGCTGCTTGCTTCTTTTTGTCTCGGTAGTTGGTTTACTCTCACAAAGGCATCAACACTCAGCTAAGGTTCTCCAAGGATCTCACTGTAGATGTCCAGGGCTGGCTCCCTGCATAGCCCTATCTGGTTGTCTTGGCCTCTGCAGATTTTATAAAAATTAAAATTAATGGTTTCATTTTGGCAGACTTGTACATATGCACAGCATGCTTTAATCATTTCTACCCTCCATCACCCCCTTGCCCTGCCCTCTCTCTTGGTTTCCCATTTTTGGGGATTTTCAATGTGTCTACTTTGCTCACAATACCAATCCCCATTTATCTGCCCATACATCCCTCCCCTCATTCTTTTTCCCTTTCTCTTGTTTAACAACAGTCTCCTTCTACTTCCTTGTCATCCTTTTTAGATTCCATATATCAGAGAGGGCATGCAATATTTGTCTTTACGAGTCTCGCTTACTGTGCTCAACATGATGGTCTCCAGATCCATCCATTTTCTGGAAAATAACAGGATTTCATTCTTCCTTGTGGATGAGTAATAATCTACCGTGTGTATATATCCCATTATGTATATAATACTGCATTGTGTTTCTGGACCACATTTTCTTTATTCACTCATCTGTTGATGGGCATCTTGTCTAGTCCCCTATCTTGGCTACTGTCAATCTGAACTGGAGATTCTTAACTCAGTCTTTGCCCTCTACTTTGGCTTGTCTGATATTTTTCTATGCTTACACGGGGGCTGTGGGCTGCGGCAGGGAAGACCAATGAAGTGAAGGGACATCCTCACCACATATTATCAAGGGCACCTATTAGTAGTCTGTCCCATAATGGATGATGTTACTCTTGATTACACCTTACACACTATACTCTTCAGACACAAGGCACTATGCACAACCCACACTCAAGAAATAGAGAAATCAGATCTGCTCCCTGAAGGCTGGGCTGTATAACTATTTATTTTAAATTATTTATATACCTTTTTTTGGTCTTTTTGAGACAAGGTCTCGCTATGCAGTTCTGGCTGGCCTTGAGCTCACTCTGTAGCCCAGGCTGGCCTCAAATTGGCAATGACCCTCCTGCCTCAGCATCCCAAGTGCTGTGATTACAGGCATGCGCAACCATGCCCGGCTATTTATATACATTTGTCTCTTCTCATTTACTTATTTATTGATATGAGCACTGACTCATGGACATTTATTTTATTCAGTGGGTTATGATCCAACCCTATACTGTCTGTTTTGTTACTCAAATTGTTTTAGCACTGGCTATTGAAAGCTTTTTCTGGAGAACTCCGCTGTATTTCTGATATGTCCCATCTGTGTGTGTGTGTGTATATGTGTTTTAAACAATCTCTCTTTCTGGGAATACAGTATACTCCATGTTGATCTTGTACAGTCTATCCCTACAGTTGGTCATTTTTCCAAGGAATGACTGGCTCCAAGGAATAAAAAGGTTTCTTTTATTGCAAAGTGATATTAGACTCCAAGTTCTGTGTCCTGTGGCTCTGTTAGCTCTTTAAAAGCATGTGAGTGAGTTCAGGGAACCTAAAAAAAATTCACAATAACTTTCTGTGTATCTACATATTTTAACATACAATGGTCTACATTAGAATATTTAAAATAGCACTATGAGTATAGTAATAAGATTATGCAATTGGGAGATAAATGGACCAAACTATAATTTAATTCAGTAAGGTGGCTTCCCACACATCTGACAACCAGTTTTAATCAGCTGAGTGTCAGGATATGAACAGCGTTGATTTTAAAATTAAACAAAAGACTTTTTTTTTTTTTTTTTGGTCTTTTTGAGACAGGGTGTTACTAAGTGTCTGTTAC